CCTAAAAATCCTGAATATTGCCAGGGACTTTTAATGTTAACCCATCTAGTCCTCTCCAGGGACACAGTCTGTTTTCAGAGCTGCTCAGTGTTTTTAAGACACATAAATCAAGGCTTGGATGTGCTGACTGGGCCTGGCACAAAGTTGTGAAGAGCACTTACTGGAAGAACAATTGTCTTTTCCTTATCTTCTCTCTTACAGTTACTTTCCTCCGAAAAAGACTTTCTAGAGATTTCAGGCCAGTCCTGGTGTCACATGCACTACACCACAGCTGAGTCCCCAGCTTCAGTAGGAACAGCTGCTCTAGAATTAAGCTGATGTTGCTAAAGTTTAATTTTTATTATGGATCTTCAGACTCCACTTTTGCACACAGAATCACAGAGTACTCAGGTTTAGAAAGGACCTCTGAAGATCATCTAGTTTAAATCCCCTGCTAGAGCAGGATCATCTAGACCACATAGAACACATCCAGACAGGTTTTGAATGTCTCCAGGGAAGGAGACTCCACAGCCTCTTGGGCAGCCTGCCCCAGTGCTCTGTTACCCTCACAGGTTGAATCTCCTATGCCCCAGTTTGTGCCGATTGCCCCTTGTCCTGTCATTGGACACCACTGAAAAGAGACTGGAGCCATTCTCCTGACACCTATCTTTATATGAGCATTTATGAGGTTCCCCCTCAGTCTCCTCCAGGCTAAACAGTCCCAACTCTCTCAGCCTTTCCTCACAGATGCTTCATTACCCTATTCATCTTTGTGGCCCTGTCCTGGACTCCTTCCAGTAATTCCTTGTCCGTGAACTTGGGAGCCCAGAATTGGACACAGTATTCCAGATGTGGCCTCACCAGGGCAGGATAGAGGGAGAGGATAACCTCCTTCAATCTACTGGCCACATTCTTCTTAATGCAACCCAGGATGGCATTGGCCTCACAAGGGCACCTTGTTGGCTCAAGCAGTCATGCTGATGTTCGTGTACCAGTTTGCACACTGAAAAATCAGCTTATGGATCTGAATGCAAGTTTTGGCCAATTCCAGCTTGGTCCTGCGAGTGAAAGACTTCCTGAGATCAAGATCATGTACAGCCCCCTTTATTCAATGACACATCAACAGCTGGCTTTTTGCGGGGATGGTCCTACAGAGGTTATGTGCTGGACGGTATGGATGACAGACAATGTGTATATGAAGTAATCAAGATTGATTTCATACAATATTGGGGGTTTTAATCTTTCTGGAAGAC